GGAAAAATGTACAGAAACAACAGAAATCTTCATTAAATCTAAATATTTAAAGTGGCAGACACGCGATTCTAATTTTTGACTATCATTTGTCTCTTTTTAGATTATGTAACTTAAAAAAAAATTAATGTTTTGAGTGTTTTTGGCATTTCTCATAATCACTGAAATGCATCTTGACCTGTTCGAAAATACGGTATAATAAGTTTTAAAACCTCTGAATTACAAATCTCTATTGTAACCAAATTCAAATACCAGATTTAATAATTGCGATTCTTACGTTGCATTATGCGTTTAAAGTCATCATTTCGTACGTTTTATGTTCGATACAATGACCTTGTCAGCAAATATAATTTATCATTGAGTCAAATGTTGACTGACGTTTTTCATGCTAATTGTTAGGCCATAATTTACACACTGAATTGTCGACGGATTTTTCCGTTATTTCCCGACCATGACAAGGAGCACACGGCGGGTGTGAGCGGTCGGCAGGGGATGCTCACTCCTCCATGGCATTTGATTCCACCTCTGATGTTTTGGAGGTCCGTGTTTGCTCTGCTCCTATTTTGTACTGTTAAATGGACTTTTGAGCTTGAATACTGTTCGTTATCTCCACATATTTCATCGCGATATAAAAACATCGCAATAATTGCTGAATTCACAGTTACTCTTAGTTGTCTGTGTGTTGCCTTCCTTTTTTTCAAACCTTAAAATGGTTTGACACAAGCTATGCTATCTCTCTATATTGGACATAAAAACATTAAGCCCTCTAGGCTTATTTGGGGACTTGAATTGACGATGTTTTAAAAAATGACATAATATCTATTGGAAGACGTGACTGAACAGATAGATGATTGAAAAGATAGGTAGTTCTATTATAAAATCATAATTATAATAATTATTCTTATTTATACAAATGTACGAGTATCAAAAGAAAATAACAATGGAAAGCTAGAAAATTTTCAAAAGGTAGTCTGATCCTCATAAAATCAGCAGTTATGTAGTTGAAAATACTCACAAAAATATCTCTGAATTCACAAATTGATGTATATTTACCCACTGTATTTCTTCAAAGTTAATCATTATAGTTTATCATATTACATAGGGAAAATTATAAAATCTCCAATATATTCAGAAAAGACGAATAGAAACATCAACTATGCATTTTCTAATTGAAAACTGATCAACAAATCTATTTTAAGTTTAAAAAAAAACTATAGGTATCCAGGCATTTAGAGAAATTTGCATTTTTAAAAAAAAAAATACTTTTTTGGTATTATAGGTTTTCTATTTTTGTCCAAAAAATATATAATAAATAGTTTTAAAAGCTTGTGCTATCATTGCAAGACATCACAAATCACTTCCAATTTCATATCATGCTAAAAGCATTGATATTTAAGGCTAGATTCAATAAAATTCTAATCATCTAAAACTGTATTTATTTATTTCTTTTTTTTTTACTTTTAAAAGGAACAAATGTCAGCTTTTTCAAAATCCTTTCTAAGACTTCAAAAACCTTGAATCATATTAAGAAGCATAAAATGAAAATTGTTCATGAAAAGTTTTCAATTTCAAGCTTCATGTTGAGACTTTTTAAAATAAATAATAATTTTAAGAGTTATCCTTTCTGGCTGAGGATCGGATATCCTTAAAACACATTACGTTTGCTATTTTCAAGGGTTGAGAGATTATAATTGACTTTTTTCCAATCTATTTCTAAAGCTGAAAGAAACTTTTAAACCTGAGTTTCCGATAACGTACACTCGTAAAAACCGAATTATCCGGCAACATCAACCTTGTTGACGATAACATGTTTTCACCTAACGAGACATTTTAGATGCCTATTAACTAACCCTTAATTTTGATTTTTGATCTCAGTCTGCTTTCCTACAGGTATATGATTGTCCATACAATAACTAAACCATTTTATTTAATAGAATAAACTAATTTTGACTTCTACAAAAGCTAAAATGTGATGAAATATTCCGAAAGTTTTATAAAATATCATTTGAAAGAGCTTTATATCTTTAAAAAGAGAGCGATTTGGATTGTGCTTTTCGCTGTTGAAAGTATAATCATTTATCTGCCAAAGATCACAAACTTTGTTTGCTGAAGTATGCAATTATCGTTGAATGAAAAAATTTATAAAATGTCACATTTGTTTTCAAAACATTGTTTTCCTTGCACCGAATGCCCGATAACAACCGAATAGCCGATAACGCGTTGAGCAGTGTGTAAACAGATAAAACTTGTGTACTAATTAAATTGTTTAAACAAGCACATATGCTCTATCTGAGGAAAACCGTTATAATACATCTTTAAGATCGCACGTGTCTATACCCCCCCCCCCCCCGCCTTTTTAAAATTTAATTTAAAAAACATTTGATAATAAAATGAATATGAATTTCTACTGAAGTTCTATTTCAAGATGCCACATCAACAACTAAACTTTTGAAAATATTAAATTAACAATTCAAAGAGTATTTTACTTAATTTTAAAACATAAAATAATGGCTACGTTTTTTGTAATCAGGAGGAAAAGATCTCTGATATACGCCATATTTCGCTAATAAACGTCACTGAGAATAATTAATAAATTGTAAGTCTGCTGAAATGTTTTAAAGTTTTATGTGTTTTCCTTATGAAATATTTCTAAATAAATATTTCGACTATAAATTCATCATAGGAGCTTTTCAAAAATATCATCGGGGCATAAACAGTTATAAAATTATTTATAAAAAAAGAAAACAACAAATTAAACCCTCTTTTAAATTAAAAAAAAAAATTAAACCTCTGCATAGTCTCCCCGAGAGCGAGAACAATATGGACAGTACTTATCAGTAAATGTCAGCACTTGTCTAAGTTTTTCACCAGGGACAGTAAAACGGGTCAGTAATTGTCTAGGTTTATCAGCACCGACTAAGATTGTCAGCACTTTTCTAAGTTTATCAGCACCGGCAGTAAAAAGGACACTAATTGTCTGAGTTTTTTTTAGTAAAGGCAGCACATTGTCAGTAATTGTCTAAGTTCGTCAGTAAAAATGGGAATGTCAGTACGTTTTTGACTTAGTAGTGTGACCAATCGACAGAGGATGTTTATTCCTCCTTGACACCTGATACCACCTATGATGGTTTCAGGGGTCCGTCTTTCATGTTCTTTTCAAAAATGTACCCAGGTATATTGTGTACAAGTTTTTAGATCGATCAATACTCGTAATCATTATCTTCATTTCAATCTTTTAAGTCTAGTTTTGTTTTTGATTAGGCAATATGTAATCATTTCAATGTCTAGCAAAAGCTTTTTATGGAACCCATTTTTTGTGAACAAACAAGCTGAGTTTTTTTTTTTGTTTTTTTTGTTTTTTTTTTTTTCGTATTTTTGTGCTTTGTTATTTGGTGGTCAGTATACCCTCCCCCCCCCCCCCAAAAAAAAAAAAGAAAAAGAAAGATACTCCATATTTTTCAATTTCTAAAAATATTTCCTGATTCTCATTTGCATCCGTCATATGATTAAATGGCATTTTTCAATGTTTTACAAGTCTTGCCTAATTTATCAGAAATCGAGATCAGAGTACTTCTCAAGGTGTCTCATCGATCACCGGAACATCAATTAATAAAAGATTGATTTAGTATCTCTTGAGATCTGAAAATTGCAAAGACATAAAATGTATATGTACGTATATGGGAAGGTAATCACCTTTTGAAAAAGATGAAAAGATGAAATATGCACAAATTCTTATTTGAAAGAGTTTTGCATTTTCACATATTCATTATATTGTACTTTTACATTATTGATATATGGGAAATATGACGTCAGCTGTAAGTCAACAACAATTCGAGAACAGGTACGTTTTCAAATGTTCAATACATGCACAGTACCCATCAAGTGTGTTTATATAAAACCAGGCAAAGTCCAATTCGGAAACTCAGTCAGTGAAAATTAGTCCGGAAGTGTAAAAAAATGTCGGAAGAAAGAGCTAAAAGTTTATAGAAGTCTGAAAAATATGTCTGGTGCGAAAAGTATCATCGTTTGTTTCCCCATAGAACCGTGCAAGGTTTTTAAGCTTAGGAGAATACTGTGGTTTTTTGTTTATCAATTACTTTGTACATGTATTGGATATGGTAAAACATCCTTTACTACTTCAAAGTTTCGTATCCATAAATGGATTTCTGTGTCTCTATTTGTTGATCTTTGAACCTAAATTAATTACAGCCTCCGAATGCAAGGTTAACCTGAGATCATAAAGTTTTACGGGCTTGATCCCAACCCCGCCAAAACAGGTATGATTATTATTTAAAGGGGTACAGTAGAACAGTAGAAGTAATCATATTATTCAATGCAAAGTTTGTTAAATATTGCAGCTTACAGAAAACCACAGACCGAAAGGTTGACAACATTTTTATGCAGGCGGAGTGTTATTTTTATTATTATTATTATTACAAAAATATGATAAAAATAATAATAATGAATGGTAACAATATTTAAAACAAAACAACAGAAAATGGTAACAATATTTAAAGCAACCATTCCTTTGACAATGAATTTGTAAGATAAATATAAAAACACTAATTATGTAGCAGGCGTCGAAATATGAAAAACATACTATTTCCATTCTTAGGATAAAGATTTTTTTCAAAACAAATCATTTTCGTTTTGGTATAATTTGATTACATCCATCTAACATATATGGGTTTTCTGATATTCAAAACATTTAACAATAAGCTGCTAAATAAATCGCGAATGAAACTATATTTTGCAGAGCACGTGTGTGACTCGGACCTAACTTGAGTTTTATATTGAATTTTGTTCATACAAATAAAATAGAAGAAATGATCAGTGGATGTCAATTCCTTTAATTAACAATATCAATAATATTCCCTTTAAAAATTTCTAGGGTTTGCTTGATTAACATTTTTCTTGATGTGAAGTGTGTTATTCTGAAAACATAAGATCACAGAACACGAAAATGAAACAACTTTAATTAGAAAAGCTTATACCAACTCATTTATTATTACAATGTACCGAGATATATATAATAATGTTTCATACATACATATATCTTGTTTATGAAAATCACAAAAAGTTACCAAAAATATGAAGACTGTTCTTCACAATACATACCAGCCTCGTGTGAAGAATCAACTTCATATATTCTGGCCTCCAGAAGTTCTACTTTATCTTTTTCAGAGAGATCTTCATAAAATGATTTTACACTCTTGTAAGTCTTCAATTTAAATGGCACTAGTCGTTTCAAAGCCCGTGCTCGTATTTTTGGCATTTTGTATTCACTTCCGTAATAGTATGATTTTAATAAAAATTCCACCTCTTTTCTCATGGAATTATCTGTAGCTTCTCTAATGTCCATCTCTTTAAGAAGCCATGTTTCACATTTCCTGATAATTGAATTAACCTGGTATTCTTGGGCTAACGGTAGTAACCTCTCAATTATATCATCTAAAACAAGAAACAAGTTATATTTAGTTAAAGAAGTCCATAGAAAAAAATAACACACATTGAATAAAAGTACATTACTTTTGTTTATTCTGCTTTAGTTACATCGATATGTATAATTATTATTTAGCTAATAAATAGTATATAATAAAAAAAACTACTGAAAGTATAGAGAATTTGAGCATCCAACATCTACTTCTTATTATTTATTTTCCTTAACATATATATGCATTATACATGTAGAAGTTTGTGATCCCGTTTACAAAATTTCCTTCTTTTATCCACAATTTGCACATAAGCAGTCAATGGTTTCTAGCCTTGATATTTCAGTGAAACTCAAAAAGTCATTCTGTAGATAAAGCCAACACATTTTTAATCGTGCCTGTTTAAAACTGAATTATTTTCTTTATTGTCTTCCATAGAAAAAATAAAACACAGAGAATAAAAGTACATTAAGTTTGTTTATTCAGCATTTGTCAGATCGATATGTATAAATAGCTAGCAAGGTAAAAGATAATAATATTATAATGATTAGTTTACTTCATCTTTATAGTGCTAAATGACCTACCATACAGAAATTCTTTTACTTTCTGTTTAACATGTGTATCTTCCAAATGGATTCCTTCATATACTTCGAGTGATATTTGTACCTGATTGTTTTATCAAACGCCAAAATCACACATTTTATGAAATACATACCATCCAAATCCAAGTTTTTATCTGGCGATAAGCACATAAGAAATTTTTCGAAATCCCAGTAGGTTTTTCCGGGAAGCTCAATTTCCTTAGCATTTTTTTCTTTGAAATCGGAAGAAAACATTGCTTTGAAAACAGGAGATGCAATGGAAAGAATTAATTTAAAGGAGTACATCTTTCTTCCCTGTACAACAAAAGCAATATCCGTTCTTCCTGGTTCTTCAGGAAACTGATCGACCTCTATGTCAGTCAAATCTACCCTCTCCATTTCCATTTTCAGGAAAATGATATCATTGAATAAAATCAAAACACTTTAAACTGGATACTGTTCTGTACATTGATTGGTTAACGTCCTGTAATGTAGAGACACGGTATTCAGAGGTCAATATGTGGAACCACATTCGGCTTTTTAAATCTTTTATAAACGTCTATGGATAACCGTTTCGGACTACGATAAGGTATAATGATGTGTTTTACATGGTTTACTGACAGGGAAAATAAATGAATTTAACGAGGCCGAGTCTAATTCCAGTGCGCATAACTTTGCGCAGCTTTTTAGTTTCAGGCAGTCGTATCTGCAACATAACACCGATCCAAGTATTGTGATTGTAACACAAAATGAACATTATTTGTAACGTTTATGGGTCTTAAAATGTGCTTTTAAGACAATATTTAGGAATAAATGCAAAAATGGCTTTCACGACGTCACTGTTTTCTGGTTCTCTAAGCAATGCATGACGCTGAAGAATGACGCTTGGATCGCTTGAAGTCCATGAACATTTTATTAAACACTGTTGACAGAACATCAAAAGAAACATACCAGCTATCTAAACGTTGTTATTTTTTACCAAAATATTTCATCTTTTATAATACTGTTAGGATGTTATACTACAATTCTCAAAAACTGGAACATTTTACAAAAAGACAATTTGGGTAGATATATTAATCAATAAACCAATAATTGCTTACAATAAACACAAAAACACAGAAAAAGATGAATAAAACACGCTGTGACGGTACATATTGTCGTTTTGTACATACAGTACAGGCAGCGCGGATCCCGTATTATACCGCGTCCCCTCGGCGGTGTGTTAATCCTTTCCGCGTTACACCGTCGCGGGTTTTGATCGCGGTGCTACCTGCGACCATGTTTACACCGCGACGGGGCCAGCTACCGTTTTTCCTCAGCTTAGAGTTGTTACCTGTAAAGTGTTTCGATTTTTAATCGCGACGAAAAAAAGGGGGGTTAATTTATTAAAGATTATGGCTTACATTATAGCATGAATACCATTAAATGAATTTTTGATTTCGTCTTAAGTAATAACAAATTGTACAATAATTATTTATTTCCTATGTATTTTATCAATAGTCACTCAAAATCAGTTATTTCTCCAACTTAAAAAAAATATAGCTAGTGCGTGCGGTAAAATTGGATGAAATATCGTCAGCTCATTTACCGTATATATTTATTTAAAATCAATCATTCCAACATAAATTATTTTGAAATTGCTAAATAATTCACCTTATAACAGTAGCATTAGATTTTTTTTAATGCCATCGTTTCCTAATGCATTATAAAATGCGGGGTCCACGATTAGCCCGTGCAGTTGCGTTCTCAGTTACATGTACATATAGCTAATGCGTTTATTTTTCTGCGAGATTCGATCACAGTCTTTGGTTTCTTTAAAAAAAAATATATGCCTTTGTATATATATATCGGATATTATTAGAATGAAAAACGATGATAGAGATGTTAACAGTATTAAACACGTGTACATTTAGGAATATGTTGCACCACTAACCAGTTAACTGCTAATATTATGCGCAAAACATGTAAGACTGTAAATTAAAGTAATATCCACATATCATTTTTTTTACTATTGTTTATAATTGTTTATAAAATCATAACACCCCATCTATTCTGGATAATTTCATAACTAGTTTTTCCCATTTTCTTGAAATTAATATGATCATGCTCATCAGTATTTTCATTAACACGCATCGTCAAATCGGAAAGATCCTCTTTTATCAGCTGATTTGGTGCCCTAAAATAATTTGAACATACAACACACAAGAAAAAAATTATTATTTTCAGAGACAAAATGTGTCATAGCGATAGGCTACGAGTTTTCAGGTGTCTGTGTAACTGGCCAATACCCCAACGAGATACCTGTAATACCTTCAGATTGCGTGAAGCAATATTGGCGATCTAATAAACGTCTTGGAAGCAGTTAGTTTAGTAAAGTAGTGTCTGTGGCTGTCACTATTTCTGTGTTTTTCAGAAACTCGATCGTAGAATTAGTCAAAGTCCACAACTGGACAATAAACTGATAAATCGGCTACAGTATATTATCTGTTCACAGAAACGACATATTGAAACTGAAAAAAAAAAAATCCAGAAGCAATTTATTTCATTGAAATTCTATTATGAATATTTTGTTTTAATCGATGGACTCGAAAAATCAATAAACTGACTGAAGGAAAAACGATGCACCTGCCGTAACATTCTGTACGTGTTTGTTGTTGTTGTTTTTATTATTATTTTACATTCTACTTGCATAATACATGCACATGTACATATACATGTATATTAAACAGAAACATAAATACCAAGCCCGTCGGCATTTAAAAAATAGTAATAAAACATAATTTGATTTGATTTATTTTATTTTATTTCATTTAAACTCTATTAATTTGTTTTAAATGTATGATTGATCTTTTTCCTTTTAATAAACACTCAGTGTAATATATATATATATATATATATATATATATATATATATATATATATATATATATATATATATATATATATATAGCAAGTATATATTGACTCGCGTAACTTTCATGGTTGTAGTTTCATTTGAAAATGAAGAAATAATGAAACATTGAAGGGACTTCTGTGTTGTATGGCTAGACAACGCCTTGCACATGCAGAGAAATTTACCCCAGGTACATTTACTCTACGACAGGTGTGAAACCCTCGGGGCATGCCGTTTCCTGCTCTTGCTCTGCTAATCCCTATACACAGGAAATGATCGCGACTAATACTTAATACACAAAGAAACAGAATATATTCAAGTAAACTTGGCATTTGATTTTTTTTCTTGAATATTTTTGAGAATAATAAGTTTTAGTGATATAACCCCCCCCCCCCGTTTTTAAAATTAATTGTTTTGTGAAGTTCATCACCATGCACATTCCAACTTCTGTAATTGGAGAAATAATTAAATTAAAAACAAACCACTGTTTACAAAAGAAGTAAATATCGAGGGGGAAAATTGTTATATTTTATTGATATCTTTTAAAACATTCACGCGCCCACTCACTGCAAACGCTCACCATCGAATATTACAGCTTTCCGGTCATTCGAAAATTTCAGGGAAATGCTTGCATATTAATACAGTAAAGTGAAATTATTTAAATGAATTATACTGTTCTAAATTTGGAAAAAAAAATACAAAAACATGAACAGTATATAGATGTATTTTTTTCCTCATAGGAATGCTGAAAACTGTTAATCGGAACTCGGATTAACTATTGTTTAGCACGTGTATGTAAAATTGCAGTTCGCATATAATTTGAAAAGAGAAGTTATTAAAACTTATATTTCCGACATTAAAATTTGTCACGTTAAACTCTCAAATGACACAGCTTATAAATAATTTTCTTGATACTATTTAAAACAAAATATGTCGCTTTAATATTGATATATAACAAAAATAAATAATAAATAAAATAAAAAACGATTAAATATATTTTGCTTTACATTTTTTTTGTTCATCATTTTCACCTAACTGTTGCAAGATAAAAGAAAATACTTTCATAAGTATACACACACTGCGGGTTTTTAATTTTTTTTTAAAGAGGAAATTTCGCAAAATTCCTGCTCGGGGAGATAATTCCCGTTTGTTTACGATACTAGTTGATCGATGATTTAACCGCGGCGGGGACAGGTAGGTGATGAATTTCACGCGGAGGTAACGCGGTTTACCTGTCTCACCTGGCCATATCCCGCGTTGTGTTTATACCGCGACGGGGCGCGGGAAATACAGTCCCTGAAACGTTCTACTTTCCCATTTTTCCGTTCGCTCACCGTTCGTTCACCGTTCGTTCAGCGTGCGTTCACCGTTCGTTCACCGTGCGTTCACCGTTCGCTCTCCGTTCACAGTTTTGCGTTCAGCGTTCACCGTGCGCTCGCGTTCACCGTTCACAAAGCGTTCACCGTTCGCTCTTCGTTCGCTCACTTTGCGTTCACCTTGCGTTCAGCGTTCACTTATCGTTCAGTCTTCAGTGTCATTCGGAACTCCGAAGTGAAAGGACTTATCTTTTTTTAAGTAAGGATTTACAGGTTTTGAATTTAATAAATAACATACAGTGTTTAAAGAATCATTATTTCATGGGGAAAAATTATCTACAATATTTATTTTTATTACTGTAACTTATCTGTTAGGTTATTTATAAAATTTATGTGGAAAATCAATGTTGTTATAAGTACATGTACATGTACATGTATGTACCGATGTAGAACGATGCTGAAAAATTAAATCTAAATACGGTCAAAATACTGATACTTCAAGTACTGCAACATTTTGCTTTTATGTTAAAGACGACAAATCGTAAATGGATAGATAGTAATCGAAGTCAATTAATTTACCACCTGCAACAAAAATACGAAAATATTTATTTCTATCACATTTTTTTCAAATAATACAGAAATACATGTTAGAACTTGTTCTGAGAATGATAAACAGTATTGCGGATATCCAGTTAATTAAATATCTTTAGAGCGAATTAAATTGATAGTGTGGTTAAAAAAATATATTTGTTTAAAATGTAATACATTAAAGAATTTTTTTCTACTTTACATATATAAAGTCTTTAATTAGAGAGAGAGAAATGCCTTTATAACATGATTATCATTTAAATAACCAAGGTGATTCTCCGATAATGATATTTTTCACCGTAACTTTATGTTTGTCATTCGATATTATTAAGAGCCCCCCCCCCCTTTTCCCCTAAATCGGTTACTTAGTTAGTATTTCCAGTACATTTTAGTTAACATTTAAAAAGAAGTTAATGTGTTTTGTAGCACAAAAATTTCAGTCCAAAACAAACATGCATCTAAACAAATTCATTAAACAATAGTAGTTCAAAATATACATGTGCCGGCAGTGA